TATTTTCAGGGCCTTCGAATGGTTCAAACTATGCTAATGATCAACAATGTAAGTCTGTTGGTTGTTTTGTAAGTAAATTGAATCAAATTAACGAAAACAATTTAAACTTGAATAAACAATTAGATCTTGAGATTTGTGGCTCCATCTAGTGAGAGAAAATCAAACATATAAACTAAAGTTTTTCGTCGATTTTGATTTAATCATATTAATTGTAAAATTTTCTCAATCATGGTTGAACACAATTAAGATTATATTTCAATGAGAGGAAAAGTCGACATTAACTTAAACTAACAGAGTATCAAATTGGTGATTTGACTCAATTGTTGAGCCTTTTTGATTATTGATTATTTAGAAATCATAAATAGTTGATTAAATTTGATTAAAAAAGTTTTAGTTGACAATTTCTTCATTGATTAAAGATTATCAATTGATTAGAAAAACTAATTATACTTGAACATTGAACAAAAATACACTCGAAGTGAAACTATTATTATTTATAAATGATCATTGGTATACTTTAGTTTACCTGTAATTGTATTTGTCATTTCAATTGGTTGATCATTAATATTGTCGACAAATAAACAACTGAATCAGCAAATCAGGTTGATTGGTTAAAGCTCATCAATAAATTAATCACTATTATCAAAGATTTATTAGGATTTAATGTGAAATAAGATTAAATCTAATCAGCTAAATATAAAGATTATTGATCATCATGATTATGATTTTGATCAACTCACAATCAACCAAACCCACTAGAAAACAATAATAAGATTTATATCAAAATCAATTTGTGATATCAAGTGAAAAAACTGATGATTCAATCACCTTTGGTCATTTTAACTGGACATTCAAGGTCAATTTGATGATTGAATCAAAAAAAAAAAATTATTAATTTTTCCCTCTCTAATTGTATCACATTTAACTTAGATTGTAATTGTATCTCAACAACAATCAAAAGTTAATATTGATTGAGTTTTTTTTTGTTGTTGTCACGAAAAAAATAATAATCAATGATTTCCGATTGAATTAATTTCACCTTACACTCTTAACTTAATCGTATTTAATTACTCATTAAGTGTAGGATACTCACACCTTTCAATGTTAATTAAATTGAGATAAAAAGGTAAACAAAACAATCATGTCCACCCACAACTGACCAATTATGTGTTAGGAAAATTGCTGTTCTTGGGTCAAGATGATTAAAAAATGATAGCAATTAGAGTTAATTTTCCTGTACATTGTCACTCAACAATCAAAACAACAACAATAACAACAACAGCTAAATGGACATTGAAGATTACACTTGACCCTTTTAGTTCAATGGTCAAGCAAGTTGATCAACAATATAAACAATACGAAACTCAAACTGACGAGTTAATTGTTATAAGCACAATCATCAAGATGATCACTGATTAGATGAAATAATTAAATCCTTTAATAACCTTACTCTTAATCCAAAAAAGTGAAAACTTTTTTTTTCACTTTACAACAAGGAAAAAACTGATTGATGATTTAAACTAATTATCAACTTTAATCAACCCTTTAATTACTTCCGGAAGTAGCGGTTAATACTTCCGCTTCCCTTTAAATAGTCCCAACATCCTCTTCCAGTTTAATTGATTGGATTTTCCAACCCACTCTCTTACCCATTCAATTATCACCACCAATCAACCAAATGATATCACAACGGAAACGGAAAAGACAAAAAATTTTGACCAAAAAAAAAAGTCCACTCAAGATTCAAGGATTCAATTACATTGATTTACTTTTTGAATAACAATTAACTAGTCACTTTTGATTCCATAAGTGTAAATAATATCATCATTAATCTCCTACCGGGATTAATTAAATAATAGTAAATCTCAACAATTAACACCCAAAGGTTGATTATCACAAACAGCAAGAGCTCAGGTTGAAAGGTTTTCACTAATCTCTTGATTATTGATACTTGATGGTGATTATATCAAATAGTAAATTGTGTCTAAATGATTACGTTGATTGTTTTCATACAATTACTTTAAATAAGGTAACAATTAAGTAATTGAACCGATTAAACATGAAATTGTGATTGGTCAAGGTTGATTAAAATGGACAAATATTGATCAACAATTAGAGATACTTACATAGGTTTAACATTATATATTTTTGGAATGACCATCAAATCATTACAATTAATTGTATTGATGATTATGATTAACTTTCCAGTTGATGCAACAATTTAAATCGTCAATGATAATAGTCAATTTATAATCTAATTGAATTTTATCAATGACAGAAAAAAATTGAAACTTTTTTTTTCTGTTACGATAAAAAATATTAACTGATTTACCTTTTAAAAATAAAATCCCAATGACAATCAATGAATTAACTTAATTCAGTTGTATAATCAATTAAAATAAATATTTCCAAACATCGATAATAATAAAGTTTCATTGATTAATTTACTGATTGAATAATATACTGACATGAATGAAACATGAAATAGTTAAAGTGATTATTATTTTTTCATAATAATTACCAATGAAAATGTTACTGGAATAGGAAATAAATGATTTACCTGTTCAAGTTTTACCTGGTTAACTCCCAGTCAACTGGGAATTAGATTAAGTAGATAATCAAAAGGAGCAAAAAAAAGGTAAGATGACAAAATTAAAGGTAAACTTGTTGATTAAGATCAAGGACATGATACATAATTTATGTTCAACTGATTGTACTTGTATTTATATTCAACCTACAGTAGGTTAATTTGGGTTGAGCCTGAAAGTTATCATCATGTTGATGGTGATGATGATGATGTTACCTGTAATTCACAGAGACATTAGTTGTTATTTCTGCTCTAAATGTTATTTACCTGTACACATTTACCATTTGCAATCATTTTTCATCCTCATCATCATCACAATCATTACAATTATTTTTTTTTCTAGGTTATTCTCTAGTATTTATATTAACCTTTTTCACCTTTTTTCCCTGGATTTCTTTGGGTTATTAGATTGATATTATAACCGTATTTGTATTTACCTGTTTCCTGTGTTGCTTATTATTTACCTGTGTGTGTGTTTAATGAAATGTTGTGAATGATTATTTGAATGAGGAAAACAAATGAGATGGAAACAGAAAAATATTCAATTTCAGCAATTTGAGATTTAATTTGTTACCATAATTGATTAAGAGATGTTGACAATTACAGTTACTTGACGATTTTACAATTGTCATGATTAATTTGATTGGTTATCGAGAACCTTGATTTCAATTGATCGGTAGGTTAATTTTACTTTCCCTTGACCAGTATAAACATTTCAATGTCCAGTTTACTTTTGTTTTTGTATTTGTAGTAATGATTAGATTTGCAAATTGCTGATCAAAGCTACGAGTTAATTGTAAAGTGTGGATTGTAATAGATTGTAATCAATAATTGATTAGAAATGTTAACTTAATCAATCAATCAAATGCTTAACTGTTTTGAGTTTAATGTCTCTAAGAGATTAATATGTTTGTATTACATGTTTATATCCATTTAATTATTGATTTAATTAAGAGTTTGGTTAATTGTTAGGTTACCCTGAAATTGTTCAGTCTATTGAACACGTTCATGAACAAATAGTGAGAGAGACAAAAAAAAACTGAAACTTTTTCGTGTCATTGTCAAGATATTTCAATGTGACTCGTCATATTATCTTGGGATTAATGATTTCTACAGATTCATCAATGCTTACACCTTGGATGGATGACAAGCATGATGACAATATTATCATTCTTGTCATCATCTATATAATCACCATGATGATTTGCCAACAAAACATGATAACCAACATGGTTATCGAAAAATATTTAAAGAGTTGAACGAGAGAAACAAATATTTTCATTGATCAAATGAATGTAGAAAATTTCGTTTTTTTTTCTCAATGAAATTGTTTGTTTTCTGATTAGTAAAATTATCAATTTAATTGCAACGAAATTCACTCACATGGTCAAGGTCAGGATCACATTTCGATATCGATCATATTATTATAACTGTTGATTTTGTTTCACTCTCTCTCTCTCTCTTATTCATCATTACCTGGGATCTATTGAACATTACATATTGATTGTTATCGATTGATATTAAATATAAAATATCAACAATAATCATGTTCATTGTTCAATTGTGAACGTCGAAGATTAAAAAAAAAGTTCGAGATGTTCAGGAGTAGATTGGATTCATCTTTATCCATTTATTGGCTTTTTTACTATTTCAATCTTGAAATTTTCTTTTACCATGAAGATTAGTCAATAACTGAATTTGCATGATGAACATGATGATGAACAACCTGAAACAATTCAACAACATCAGTATAATAATATCCTTGTTATCTTATGTTCAATGGAAATGAGAGAGAGAGAGAAAAAAATTGGAATAGAACTTTTTTTTTCTTTTTCTTTTTTTTTGGTTCGAATTTAATAATTTGAACTTGAACTTCTCAGGAATCCTCATGGAACCACAACTATTATTAGCATCATTAAGATTCATCAGTAACGATTTGATTGTTTGCCGGTTAATTATCAACATCATTAAGTAATTGTTATCATAATGATTCTCACATCGAGTGAAAAAATCAATAAATTCATTGATTATACTTTTCTTTCATTAAACTTACCTGTTAATCATTAAAATATCCATTACAATTAAAGGTTAATCAATTGATTAACTTTTCTTGCCTCAATCATCTAATTAATTGCTAACACTTTTTAAATACTAATTTTCAATTATGTCTCCATTGTCATTGGATATTAATAAACTTTAATTTGAGTGTTCTCAATGTTTAAGATTAGATTTTTGTCTTAATTGTTAAATCTAATTTAGTTTCATATCCTCAGAGTTAATCAACATATTATTACGTTGTTGATTATGAGCCAAGAAATGGATCAGATTAATTTTCTCAATTGTATAATCAAATTTAGCAATTAACTGATGAAAGTTTAATAGAGTGAAATTTAATTTAGTTATGAGACTTTGGTTTTAAATTGTTAATCAACTTTTATTCATGTAAAAATCAAAATAAGGTTTTAATTGTTAGGGTTTTCAATAAGTTAATTGTTGGGGGTTCTCATTTGATTTGTCAACTTTTTTCATCTCTTGATTGGCCTTTGAAACTTTCCACAAAATTAAATTGCCATCAATTAGTTTTAATTGTAATCCAAACTAAATCAACTTTAACGTTGCATTCAAATTGATTGAATCCTTTGTGTTGATGATCATTAATCATGTTAATTGTTGTTAATCTTTTCACAATTAAAACATAGGTAGTTAATTTTTATCCCCTCTTTGAATCAGACTTGATTTTCCAATATAATTAATTTTAATTGTTACCATAATTAACAATCGTTTAGTATATTAATCAATTGGTCCATCAAAATTTTAATATAAAAAAAATACTTGGCACTTTTTTTTCAACTCACCGAAAAATTGATCAACAATTAGTAAATTTAAAAGTTAATTGTTGGTTAACTTAATCAATTAAAAACTTTTAATTATCTTGGAATGATTTTTGTTCATCTTATAATTAAAACTAATCACTGGTTATTGATGAGGGGACAAAAAAAAATGTAAATCAATCATCATGAATTATTCAGAGATTGACAATTAAACTAATTGGTTACTGATTAACTTTTGAAACTTAATTGCCTCTAATTTCAATCGTGATAATTAATATGAATGATGAACTTTTTCGTTAAGTAGATTTACAGTTGAATAACAATTTTAGAAAGTTAATTGTTTCGGTTAATTGTCGTTAAACATTTTCACTTGTGATTGTTGATTCTTCAATTGGACTTAATTTAACAACTGAATCAATTGCTAGTAAACGGTTGAAGCTTTGTTGATTAAAAATCCTATGGATTGGATAAGCTAAACTGGATTTAATTGTGATACAATTGTTATTGTCATTATCATTATTGTTGTTGTTGGTTAATTGATTGTGATTAACTGTTGATGTTGGTATGATGCATAATGATTGACGTCTCAGAATTGGATGATTATTGTTATTATTTGTTGAGATTGAAGTGTAATTATAATTAGATGGATAATGATGATGATGATTAGGATATTGAAGTGATATCGATGTTGGTGTTGATTGTTGTTGTTGATGCTGGTGTTGTTGTTGTTGACCGTAGCTAATTAAAAACGATGGTGACCAATTGTTACCTCCTAATTTAGTATTGACACAATTACTATTGTTAATTGTCGTCGTTATAATATTATTATTGGTATTATTTGTTGGTGGAATGAAAGAGAACCAGAAATTATCTGATCTTATTGATCGGGTTGGTGTCGATGTTGCTGTTGCTGTGGTTGTAGGTGGTGAGGGTGTTGTTTGAACGAGTATTGGACAAGAATTGCGCCGACCATAATGTGACCTGAAAAGGCTGTTCTGAGATCCTTGGGATCGAAGTGAAAGTCTTCGTTCAATTTCAAGGGAAACATCTTGTTTGTACAAATATCGATGAAGGAGACGTTTAAATGTACTTCGAATGAGGCGACTTTTAACACCATAAATGTAAGCGTTAATTGTTGGCATTAGGATTAGGCACAGGGTTACTAATGAGATGATTATGGGATTAACTGTGAGACGATCAAGAGTTTCAAGGCAGAAGATTATGTAATGAGGTGTGGTAAAGAAAAGTAGAGATCCAACAAGTTGGGTAACAGGTAGGAAAGCATCACGACTACGACGTCGGGATAACGATTCAGCTGATCGACTTTTACCTGATGAAGATGTTGAAGATCCCGTTTTAGTTACTGGTTGATGTTGATAATGAACTGATTGATTTTTTGGACATGTTGTAGTTGTTGTTGTTGTTGTTGTTGAAGGTGGAGGTGGAGGTGTTGTAGTAGTAGTAGTTGTTGTTGTTGTTGTTGGTACTGTTGTAGGTGGAGGACTCTCAATAGACGGTGGAGGTGAATCATTAGCATTGAAAGAAGGTGATATATTGGATGAGGGTGCCAATGAAATTGGTGATGAGGGTAATGGTGAACCGATTGAAGGTGAACCTGGACTGAAGGATGTTACTAATCCTGTTGATTTTTGTGCAAGAGATAAATTAATTTCATCATGATCATCGGCTTCACCTGGATTGCCAACGCCTCCACGTAAGGTTATCTCATAAATTGCGGTAATTATACGATGACGATGATTTTCAGCAATTAAAAGGATATGAAAATTACAAATTGTTATGGCAAGGAGTGGTAATAGGATGGAGAATAGGATATAAATAACAATATAAACAAGTCCAAACCACGGGTAAGTTGAGGTATCACAGGTAATTGTGGCCGAGGAACGGTAAAGACTGTAGGTATAACTACACCCGGTTGAGGAGGGTATTAAAGGTGGAAAGGCTAAGGTTAAGCCCATAAGCCAAGAGGTTGCAAGGGCTATGGTTGCTTTTCGAGTGGTTATCAGCCTAGAATAGTGGAGTGGGGAGGAGATGGCAATGTATTTGTCTATGGTGAGTCCAGCTACAGTCCAGACAAAAATAATTGGGAAAGCGGTCCAAAGGTAACCTTGAAAATTAGTGACTAGTGAAAGTAAACTTAAAGGTTTAGGATATATTATCCATGGTGGTGGTGTTGATGAGGATGAAGGTGATGGAGATAATATTTCATCCTGAGTGAATGTTGGTACAATTGAAATGCCAATATCATCAGAAAGTTGATCAGATGATAAAGGTGAATGTAATTTTTGTCTAATTAACTGGTCACTTAAAGTCAATGGGTCAGGATAAGATGAGGATGATTGTTGATTTAAAATTATTGAATCAGTTGATTTAAATTCATCATCAGGTAGTAATGATTGTTGTGATGATGATGATGATGATGATGATGATAATGATTAGTTAGTAATGAATTTGATTCATTGTTATCACTTGGTAATGAGAACTCGGTAATCAATGGTAACGCTATTATTGTCTCTGTGGAAGCGGTTGAGGTCAATTCTGAACTGGACAATGATGGTGACGATATTGAGGTCGATAAATTTGAACCTATGGCAATACTTAACGAGGTATTACCAAATAATACTGTTAAACAGAAAAGTATATCGACAATTGCGAGATTGAGTAAAAATAAATTGTTAGCATTTTGAATTCGTTTCTGCCAAATTAAAACGCTCAAAATGTAACCATTGAAAAGTAGACCAGAAGTTGCTGCAAACGCTGAGGCCACAGTTTGTACCACGAACAAAGTCAACATTGGTGCTGATTGTTTCAAAGATTGATTTGATTATCACAACGATTTAACATTCGAATGGTCAAACAATTAAGACCAAAAAGTAAATTGAGAAAAGTTATTGTTCTAATTTGATTACCTTTACTTTTTGAGATTTTAGATTATTGGTAAACAACGATGATGAGAAAATGATGATTAAGGTGATGACAATTAGTTGATTGTTGTTGCTCTTGGTGGTGAATTGGGTGTTCACAATTAGAATCTTTTGGTTATTCCAAGCGTTCAGGTAAGCGCTCTTGTTGTTCCGGGTTGACGAGCCTTGGATCTGAACACATTCATAAAATAAACGCTCTTGCGACTGTTGCTTCAGCTTTTTGTTTCTAATTCGTGTGTTGATTGTTGGTGTTAAATTGTTGCAATTAACTGATTGTTTTGTGTGTGAAAAAGTCAAAAAAAGTAAACCAAATTAGCTATTGAAATGTAATACGCTTTAACGATTTAAGATTTTGCTTCTCGCAATTTTAATGTTGATGTTGTTATCTCGTAAATTATTGCTGATTAGTTGGTAAATTGTGATATTTAAGGGTTTTTTTGAATGTTAATTGTTGTAGTTCAACTGTGTTTCCTTTGGTAAATTTTGGTCGGTTGGTTGTTGTTGTTTTTGTTGGTTGATTTTTAAAAGTTTCACTCGGATGAAGAGGATTAGATTAGGATTAAAAGTGTAACAGTTGAGATGAAGACGATTAGTTGATTAAAATATAATCAAAGTTGATTAAACTTTTAGACACAAAGATAATGAAAATGGTGAAATTTAGTTCAACAATTACGATCACAGTGTTAGAAATGGTGTTGGCGTTTCGTTCGTACGTTTAATATTTGCTTCGCTGAGGTCACTTTAAAGTGTCAATGTTGATGTTGCTGTGGGCCTAAAGATGAATAACCATTGGCTACTTAATGGGTTTAAAGATGATGGAAGATGAGGGATGACGGATGAAGATTATCTAGTAACTTCCTTAGGTAAAGTTTTCCTTTAGAACAACTTGTTACCTTTTGCTTTCTTTTTTTTCGCCAAAATTTATCTTCTCGTTTTCTTCCTCCCTTTCAATTCTCTCTCTCTCTCTCTCGATTTTTCTCTCTTTATCTTCCTCTTTTTATCTTCTCTCTCTTTCTCTCTTGACGATATCTTCCCTTTCAGCGAAAAGAAAGAGGATGAAAAGTCCTAAGGCAAATTCGGACGTTGAAAAAAAGTGACCTAAAAGAGGGAAGATGCCGTCAGTTTATATGGATCTTGTTGTGTTGCTACAATATTTGGGTCTGGACTTGGATGAAGATGATAAAGGATGATAAGTAAGAGAAAAAGAAAGAGAGATGAAGATGAAGATGAACTTTTTTTCTCTCTTCTTTTTTATCTTCCTCTTTTGAAATGGCTTCCAAATGTAAAGCTATTGGTTTTGTCCTCATTGAATATTTTACTTTGCGAAAAAGTTTTATGAGTTTTTCTGGTTATCTGGTTTCTTTTTTTTTGTTTCTTAAACTTATCAACAATTAACTTTAACAATATAACGATTAAAATTAATTATTATGGTTAAACTTGATAATGGATATACAGATTGTAACGATAATAATATTGTAGTAATTTAGGTTGATTGTTAGACGGAAGATGAGGTTGATTTAGTTTGGTTGATTGTTTAAGGTCACTTTTCAGTTGATTGTTGGTTGATCACTTTTGTCAAGTTACATTAATTATCGTAGTTAATTGTTATCTGATTGATTTTTTTTATATATCTCACTTTCTGGTAATTAATTGTTGACTTATTTATAAATATATAGATGTTTTTGTTGTTGTTAATTAGTGACAATTAAGGAAACTGTTACCAATTAATTGTTCACACTGTCTTGATTAACTATTGTTGAAAATAGTTGATTTAATTTGATGATGGGAATGGTGTTGACTTTTAATTGTGATTGTTGATAAGTTGATTTGAGTTGATTATCAGTTTTTAATTTTAATCCGTTTCATTGTAACAATTAAGTTAATTAGATGATGAAAATATGAATTAAAAGTAATGATTAATGTAACAATTTTAATCATCATTTAAATTGTTACCCAAACAATTTAATTAGTTAACAGGTAACAAACACTCACAGCAATTTAAAGATGATGATGAACAATTTTTAATTAATTGTTAATTTAAAATTTTAACCAAAATAAACCTGGAAAACATTGATTACCTTTTAATGGACAATCTAATTAAGTTGATTATTGTTGATTGTGATTAACAGGAAACACTAATATAAACAATTTAAACGAAAGAAGAAAAAAAAATTAAATCTTTAATTAAATTGTGATGATGAGAAATGGTCACTAAATATCATTAATCAACTAATAAAATAAAGGTAAATCATATTTAATTGTTAATAAAAGTAAACTTTAAATTATGAATTAAAAATAGACTCTAAATTGTTGTCAATCTTAACGTAATGACACCTTTTTGAAAACTAATTGTGTTGTCTTTAAATTGATCACATATTTAAGAGTTTAATTGGAAGATGAAAATATAATTTATACAATTAGTTAATTCAGTTGTAAATTGTTTGGAAACGACGAGGAAACAATTCCAGCTTCAGTCTACAAGCAACGATTACAACTGAATTCAACTGAAGCAAAAAGTGAGTGAGTAAATGAATGAGTGAGTTACTGAGAGAGAGAGTGGGAGTTGGATGATAAAGAAAGAGGAAAGGAAAGAGATGATGATGATGATGATGAGAGGGGAAAGAAAATTAAATTGTTACTATTGAGCAAAAGCAACAGGATCAACAGGATAAATTGTTCATTGATAATAGTGAATGAGATTCGGTGAAAAGTTTTTTTCACCTTAATAAAAGTTAATTCATTTTTACTACAATTAACTAATCAACTAAATAAAACTGACAATCAAGAAACTTTTGTTTCGTTAACGATGATTCCGTCGTTAATTGTAATCGTTGGTGATGATGACAAAGCAAATTAACTTTTAATGTTAATGATAACGATGACGATCAACGATGATGATGAACAAATTGTTTGGTTACATTTTTTTTTTGAGACGATTTCATTTCAGATTCCAAGTTAATTGTTAAAACAATTAAAACAAAAACTTTTCTATTGTTTAATTGTGTAATTATCTCAACTATTAGATTGTTTTTAGCTGTGTCAATGTTTAATTGTAACAATTTAGCAATTTTTTAGTCACTTGTGATGATTAGGATTATGATTATTAATCAATTGGTTAATTTTTCTTGATTACTTTTGACAATTGACAATCAACGTCACTGTTTATGATTAACTTATTGATTATCAGCTAATTGTAACTGGTACCAACTCTTTGGTAATTTAATATTTTTCAATCCAATTACTTTTTTTTAATCAATTAATTGTTGATCAATTTAACCAATCATTCAATACAAATTATTAAATTGTTGTTGTTACTATTCAAATTATCATGACATTAAACTTGAAACTTATTTAATTGTCATGAATCTTAATCATTTCCTCCTTTAACAATTTACCAATAATCAGTAAATCCAATAATGATCAGTGATAATCAAATTTTTGAAATATAAAAAAAAAGGTTAACCAGTTAATTGTTGTTGATCTTAGTTTCGTAATTGAATTAATCATTTTAAACTTGAACTGGGGTTAATTGTTAACCAGTTAACCCTTGATCATGTTTCTGATGATTATCATTTAATTGTAATTAATTCATTTAGTATCTAAGGTTGAGATTGTTGTTGTTTTTTTCAATTAAAACCAAAACCATAATAATCATGACAACAAGATTAATGTAAATGAATTAATTTGGTTGTAAATTGAAATTTACTCAAACCAATTAATTGAATTAATAGTTTATAATATTGCCAGTAATCAATAATCAATGATAAAGGTCAACAAGTGATTAATATTAATTTGATTGTCATCAATACATTTTAATCACACTTTAGTTTGATTGTCAGGATATTGAATATTTATTATTGCATCTCAAATTGTTGACAATCATCAAGATGATTTTGATTAAACATAATCAACTGATTTTCATCAAAACTGATTGGAAACAATTGATCAGGAAACATCATCACAACTCAAAACTAATTGTTATAATAACCTGGTAATACCAACAATTAAAAATCAGTCAAAAAATGAAACAACTCACAATCAACGAAGCAACTTTTGTAACTGATAAATGAAATGACAATTAACTGATTATCTCATGAAAACATTTAATTTACTGTTTGTTAACCATGATTATAGAGATTTCAATTATCAGCTAATTAATTGCATCTAGAATTATATAAAAAATTTCTTGTACTTTGGTAACATAATCAAATTAAATTACTGTTACAATTTACGTGGTGTCAAAGGTAATGAAATGATGATCATTCATGAGGAGGGAAATCGAAGGTGAAAATAAAACTATATTCTCGAATTATGGTTCATTTGAACATTACGATTACTCGATTACTTTTTGAAAAGGGAGGCAAAAGCAATAGAAATACAGTAGATAAGTTCAATGTTCAGGAATTTTGGGTGAGAGAGAAAACTTTTTCCTCTAAATCGGTAAATATTCAATCCCCTGAATTCATTGGTTAGATTTTCATCTACATGGTGGTGTAATTCATGCGTCGAATCCTTGGATTCCATGATAATGATACAGTGTCTACTCGAATGTCTAACCTTGACCATGAAGATGAAAATGGAATCTCTCTCTCTCTCTCTCTCTCTTCTATCTGTATTTTTCTATTTTCTTCTGATTCCCATGTTCTGCTCATGAAATTCTGAACTTTCCATCCATTCTCATGAACAATCATCATCATGGATTGTGTTTCCATTATTATTATTAAACATAAGTATTGTTATCATGATAAATGATATTATTATAATATTTTACATCCACCATAAGAATCAATAATTACAGTTTGAAACTTTTCCTGAAATTTTCAAAGGAAACCACATGAAGCTGAATTTCCAGATTGGTTCACGTTGCTTTAGAGGTTTTAAATTACAATTAAATCTCAGTATATGAAGATGATTAAGATTATGATTAAAAATTTCAGATTGTTAATTGTTCGGGTTATTAATCTAATTCTCCATGATTAATACAATTTTGTTTTTATCAATCACGTTGTTTCATTTTCACTACAAATCTAAACTCTCCTCCGATTATCATCCCAATATTTTGATTACTACAAAGGATGATGATTAGTTAATTACTTGCTAATCTCAATATTAGCCATGGGATTAGACATTAAATACAACTGATTGTTAGTTAATTGAAACATTGATCAACTATTAATAGATGTACACTTTTAATGACAGATTAACATTTAGCTTATTTGTTTACGTTAAATCATCAGATTAATTCATTGATTTTCTATGTGATTCTTAATCATCGTCATCATGTTTATTAACAGAATTAATTACTTATATTCACTGATTGACATCTAATCAATTTAATCACTTTCGAAATCAGAGCAAAACATTAAAAGTAAGATTCAAGATAAACCACCATTTAAAAGTTAATTACTTACTTATTAATTAAGATTTAGATCCATCATAATTAATAGTATCTCTTTAAATATTTATTAATATGAAAAAGATTATCAAATTGTTACTAATCAAGAACCAAATCAATTTTGATTGTGATAAAAACATGAAATTTTGTTTTTCCTACACTTTTGATTGATAATTAACTTGACAGCGGAAGTTAATCAACTTTTAATTAACTTGTAACCACTAATCATTAGGATTAAATGTCTTCTTAATTATGATTTTTATTATTTTTTTGAAATAGTTAACATTACAGTTTGAACAATCAATTCAAAGTTGATTATCAATAATGAGTTGAAACAACAATTTATAATCATTAATTTTGATTGGGCTGTTGACTATTCAATCTGATCATCAAACTTGCAACAATCAAATTAATTTTGATTGTATTGATATATCATGTTAAATAATCTTTGCTAATAGTTGTGATTAACTTGATTGCTTTTACAATTTGATAATGAAATTAGCAAATTGTATTTGTTACCAAGGTTTAAAATAATTCAATCAATTGATTGTTTCTTGGCAACAGTTAATCACACAACCAATTTAAAGTTGAAGTTAATCAAATCAAATTTCAAATCTAAATTCTGGTAATTTGATGTTTATTATTATTAATTGTTGAAAATATGGATTAGTTTTGATGTTGATTTTCAATGTTAGAAATTTGATTTTTGTTGAAAACAATCAATTAACTAATCATTAATTGACTAGATGGTTAATTAACTTTTATTTCAAGTTAATTGTGTCTCTACAAGTTTGAAAAATCATCATTAATTGTTGTGAGTCAAATCAATTTCAATGGCAATTTACAGTTAATCAATTATCAATTGTAGTTTTAATTTAATTGCGATTTCCGTTTCTAGGATCTAATCTAAAGTTAATTGTTCAATTTCAATGTAACAATCATCAACAAACAATTAAAAATAAAACGGGAAATGATTACTAACCAATAAATTGTCAATAACTACTAATAATTAATTGATCATAATGATTTAATAGCTAATCAATTACTATAATTATAATAACCAGACAAATGTAAACAAAATTGTAACTTGAGGTTAAGGTTAAATTGTTGATTGTTGACATTAATTGATTGTTATGATTTGGAATCAAGATGATGTAATAAAGATGAAGGAAGATAAATTGAAATCATCATTTTCGTCATCATTTATCATCCATAAATAGAGGATAATATGATTTTCTCAATAGAATAACAAAATTTTTTTTTCTTCATCTTTTTCCCATCAACTTTTCCAATCTCATATTCAATCAACAATCAAGAGATTGAATTACCTTTTGAAATCAAAATGACAACAATTAAATGACCATGTGGATTATTATTTGACCACTTGATCAATATATTCAATCAATTAGATTAGTAATCAAACTTTGACCTAGAAATTAAATCAACATTGATTATTGTAACATAACAAATGTCCAAAACTTTGATCATTATAATGATCAAGTTTACTTTCAATTTTTGACAGTAATCATGATGATTGTTGTTGTTGATTAGTATTAAGGAAATTGTGATAATCAACAGATTATCAATTTACCAGTTAACAGTTAATTGTAATTGCACTTTTCTTTTCTTGATTATAATTCGTGGCTCTTGGATAATGATGATGGGTTGAGGTAAATTGTGATTAACTTGAAATGAAATAGTAACTATGTGAACATGTAATTGTAAAGGTAAAAATAAATTACCTGTATGGTTAATATGATCAAGTTGATGAGTAAATGTAATGAATCATATACTCAAAGTGAGATAATCTGTTTGTTACCTTGATAAATTAAGGATTAGTATTATTATCATTATTATTATACCTTCAATGGTTTAATGATTATGATATTAACTTAATCAGACATGATAATAGTTATCATGATGAAAAGTGAAATCGGAATAAAGTTTCATGTTTAATTTTAAATCAAGTTCATAGTGTTGATCTTTAATCATAACAATCAACCAAAAGTAACTCAATCATCTGAGTTAAGAGTAACAGTTAATTGTGATCAGTAATAACAATCAAAATAATGAACAATTTAACTGTTAAAGAGACTGGTAATTTGTGTAAATTATCATTTAAATTGTTGAGATTTTATTGATTAAACAAACAGGAAACTGGATTAATAAAACGCTTAATTATTACCCTTAAAAAAAAAGTTAATTAATTTATCATAGAAAAACTTTCATTGGAATTGAAAAGATTTACAAATGAAATTGAATTTGCTAATTAAATTTGATTAACTTGAAACATTGAATTGATCTCATCTCGAGTGGTCAACAGATGATAATTTATAATGAATCAGATTGTTTATCATGAAAAATTCAACCATCATGTTGATGGTTAATCAGTTTGATTACTTGAAACAGATTAGGATTGTTTTTTTTTGCTTCTCTAATCAATGTTGAGTAGACTTGGAGATTAAGTCAAAGTACATGGAGACAGACAAAATCCTTGATGGTCAGTTTATACTGGACATGATGACCAGTGAATTACAACAAGGTAACAATTGAACTGAATCCTGAATCCTGAATAGATAAAAAGATTTGTATCTTTTTCTGTTCACCTTGGATAAGAAATATATATTAACTTTTACAGTTTTTCTTTGTCAATGGAAACATCAAAATCTTAATTCATAAAGTTTTCATCTTAATCTCAATGTTATTAGTTAATTACTATCTAATTTGATTAACTCATTCAAATCTACAGGTCAAGGTAATGTCCATCAAATGTATTATGTGTTTACAATTTTCATTAAATTGCTTCCTTGTTAATAGTTACTCAATTTTCATGGCTATCAAATAATCAGTTGTTTTTAATTACATTTGCTTGTTGTTCATTTAGTTTTAATTACTTGAAGATGAGAATCTGTTTCTAACACAATTAGGCCAATTTAAGTTAATTGTATTTACATCTATTCAATGTCTCCTTGATTAATTGTTACTGTTATTTGTTTTCATTGGGAGGACCAAAATTTCATCTAAATTTAGTTGATTTAATATTAATTGTTGGTTGATTGTAACTTCTTGATGATTTGTCCTAGATTTCTATCTCATTGATTGGTTTCATCTTTTTTTTTTGTTTATTTTTCCTCGAAACAATTGATTAGTATGACTAATTAATCAGAGCTAATTGTGACCATTGGTAATAATCAATTGTGAAATTTATGTTACTATTTATATTTATTATGATTAACATCAATAATCAATTGGTCTAAATTTAGTACAGAGTAACTTGTGATC